AAAAAGTTGCAGCCCTGTCTTCGAACCAATTGTGACTTTCTCCATATTCTAATACTCTGCTGAAAAATGAGACGGAATCTCTTGGAATCTAAAACGACGAGAAACGGCACGAAGGAATAGTTCATCGTTGGATTTCTTTACTACGGTAATCGATAATTAATTTTGCCTTTACTTTTCGTAAGTGTTAATATCGCATATTAGTCTAATATAATACTAGCACACTGATTAATTCGGTTGAAAGTATGTGGCGTCGTGTCATGTCGCGTCTCGGCGTCACTTTTTACGCGTGAAGTTAACCGCACACGGAAAACAAACGCCGCTCCCCCATTTCGATCGCATTTTGTTCGCAGTCTCGATGAGTACCGACGTGATCAGACGTTCTTGCGTAATTATCTTTGGAAAGTGTAACCGGCTTCGAACGCGCATTTGAGTTTGTTACTTTTTTAGACTTTCGTATTCTGCATGTTGGTTTTTGTTACTTATTGCATACAGCGGCATTTTCAATTCTGGCCGTGTCGATTCTGTGTTAGAATCGGAGCCATTCTTGCGCGAAGACATTCATTCGCGAAATGCGGCGGAATGGACTGGCTCAAACAAGTGGAAATGCGAGATCAAATATGGTAGTTATCTATATAATACCTGAATATATAACTTGAATATACATTTTCATACGCGATATTTAACTACCGCGTGACTATAGATTCGGTAGTCGCATATTAATAATCCGTTCGAACGTGTATTTTGTAAAACTTGTTCGCCGAAAGTATATTGCTTAAACGATGAGATTTTCGAATATCAATCTGCAATACGAAAATAATTATAAAAGAAGAGCGTATATACGATTGCCCTTTATGATTGTTATTTCCGTATTTCGAGCATCAGATATATTTCGAAATACGGAAAATTTATGAACGCGACGCCGAGAGCAAGAAGTGCAACGTCACAACGCCGCGTCGTTCGCGTCGCCTTTGGCACGCGAAGTTAACCGCGAGAAAACAAAACTGTCTCGCTTTCTTAATCTTAACAACTACGGTTTATTTATACATTTCAATCTGTAAATGAAGCGCAGATATAATTAAGAGATGAGATTGGCATGGATCAAATGATAATTGAAATTTATATTAAACCTATATTTGTCGTTTATTGCAACACTTAGTTCGCGCAATTATAGATTCAATATTCATTAAGAAAAAGACGCGCATTGCCACCGTGTCGCTCTTGAAGTGTAAAATTAATAACACGAGAGACGAAATCACTTCGATATATTAATTGCATTTATGTTTTATTTGCAGAATGCGACGAATACGAGATGGTTGGCTCAAAATGATTGCTGTTGCGATTTATTAAATTGGTAAATAAAATTTATATTAATTTTATATCTAATTATTAAAATATCTAATAATTTCTTGTGTAATATAGTTTCGGTACTAGTATACGGATAATTCATTTGAGCGTGCATTTCATAATATTCGTGCGCGAATAGCATGTCGCGTACAAAGCCAACTATGCAGAAATCTTTCGCCATCTTAGATGCATTCCAATGTCTAAATTTTATTTGTAAAGTGTCACGAGTATCGAACATGATGAGTATCGACTCAAATTTCTTGCGTTCTTATTTTTCTGCTATGAATTATGCACACGTCTATATCGACTATACTATAACAAAATATGACATGGTCGCATAATATTTAGAATGCGTTCCGCTTTTACGCTCACACGATGTAAACATTAGTTCATCCTTGTTTATCAAATATCAAATAAGGATAAATGATATTTGCAAGCACTGTAAGCGCAAAATAAGACGTACTCTTAGCAATTATTTGCAACTGTACTTAATTTTAATAAATTATTTCTTTCTGATAGATGCTGTTACAAACTAAACAATGGGAAGAGAAGAGAGGTGAAAAGCAGGCTTGACAATTTTGAGAAGAGGAGAAGGAGGAGGAGGAAGAAGAGGAGGCTCAAGAAAAGCAATGGATCAATTTTACGATAAGCTTATTGCTTATATAAAAAATCAGTTATTTCTTCCCATTAGATTGTTTTATTTCAATAATTAAAAATAATAATTAAAAAAAAGAATTAATCTAAAACATTACGGAAATTTATTCTCATAAAGACAATTTTGAAAAAATATATAATTATTTTAATGGATATATAATTGAAAAACTTGAAAAATTCAATGTGTATAAAAATTAATTTTTTAATTATTGATTATTTTGAACGCTATTTTAACTTGTATCTTGTATTTGTACGTTACAGAATCATGTAATGCATATAGCTGATAACTCCACTGCTGCATCAATCGGTCTTTCTTCTTTTATTGGTACGCGCAGTCACCGGCCGCGATCAAGCCATTAGCCAGTTAGTGAAGATGCAGTAAAATATAATGGAGACTTCGCACGGCTCTGTACTACTGAGAGGTTGAGGCATCGGTCGGTGAGTGACAAATTTTGTCAGGTAACGAATCTGTATAAAATGTACAGATCTATCATTATATTAGAAATGAATATAAAGCTTTATAGACTCATTACTTGAAAATGAATTGGCTACAAACGATTATGACACATATTTAATCTTGGATTTGTTTATCATTATTTGACAACTTGATTAGCATCTTGATCTGCTATTATGTTTATACCCGGAAAAAAATGTTTTATATATAATTGTATAAAATTATATATAATTATTATAAAATGTCTATAATATATATAATATTTTTTCTCACGTATTCACACAAGTATACATATAAAAAAAGAGAATGAAATAGAATTCAATGATGAATTAGTGCTATAAATTATATAATATTAATAAATCAAGTAAGAACATAAATCTGTTTAATTGTATTGAATTATTATTTGATTCACACATATTAGAAATAATTAAATTTTTTGATTTAAAAGAATATTCAACAAAAATTCTTTTCTTTACTAATAATATAAAAAAAAAATATTTATATACAAAACTGCATTTTAATAAAAATAAGCTTAATGAATATAAAAAAAATGATTCAAATAATTGGTCTTTAAATTAAATTTGTTGAAATAAATAATAAAAAAATAAAGAAAAAATAAAGTTTCATAAACAAAATATATTTTAAAATACAGATTCACAAATTTTTTATTTTTAAATTAGTATAGGATATTCAATATATGTGACATAAAAATAAAGAATATTTTGATACAGCAAAACCTATAATTAAACAAGTTAGTATTCATTTTCCTTAATCCCATTCCCAAATAATTATCCAAGATTAAATATGCTATAAATTGGTGCAAAGAGAGAGAGAGAGAGAGAGAGAAAATATGTATATTTAAAAAAATATTTTTTCAATGTGTATAAATGAAAAAATTGTCCTTTTTTACAAGAAAAAAATACAATAATGTTATTACAACGCCTGACTAATCTTATCTTATATCGTATATAAAATGCAATACTACATATGACTATAAATAATTAATTCTTGAACACACAGCACCAATTTTAACATATTAGATTGTAGCTTATTCATTTTGTTGATTGACAAAATAAATTTACAACAAATAAAGCAAAATAAGTGACATAAAATCCCATAAGTTACTCGCGGAACACACAAGAACTTTTTAAATTATATTAACGTTTTTTCAATTATTCAAAAATTTTCTATAAAAAAGATATTTTTATATAATACACATTACAACTAGATATAAGTGATATAACAATGATATAAATGCAACTGATAAGGAGTTTATAAGTCACAACGCAGGATTTTTTCGCGCAGTATCCGATTAAAAATTTGTTGTTCATGCATGAATATGTATAAATATTCATAAACATATATAATTTTATATGAAATATATCCATACATGTTCGTACATCCATTTTTTTTGTAAAATTACTTTTTAGTGTAATAGAAATAATAGTAGTAATGTAAAAATAATTAAAAAGTAATTTTCGCACTATTTGTTTTAGAAAACGTCAAGTTTGAAGAAATATAAAAAAATTACTTATGTATAATTATATATAAAATTATGCATAAATTATGTATAAGCATATTTATGTATAATTTTTTTGATATTTTTCCAAACTTATTTTTTTCTAAAACAAACAATGCAAAAATGATTCCTTTAATTATTTTTTATGTTTTCACATTACTATTATTTTTATTATACTAAAAAGTAATTTTACAAAAGAAAAAAGAATGTATTGACATGTATGGATATATTTTATATATAATTATACATATTTATGAACATTTATGCGTGTTTATATATGTTTATGTATATTCATGTATGAAAAATTTGTTAGTTTTTACCGGGTAGTTATATTTAAATGTACATATATACATAGAGATAATAAATTATAGATGTTTCGGCCAAAACTGGGTCATCTTTAGTATGTCAAAATGATAAGACAAAAAGTGTTTAATTTAAAGTAATAATGGAATGTCAATATGATAAAAATATTATTAGCGCGATTAGAGTACAGATTCTCACAGATAAAACATAAAATTATCTAGTTGCTATAAATACACTTATTATGTACTGGATCTATGGATTATCTACTGGATGATTCAATTTTGCTATTTCTTATTCGTTGTATCTTTACAATTATTTCCATTTCACATAAACGTTGTGCAAACATAAGAATTCCAGGCATAATTTATGATATTTATATTGTAAAATAAATATAAATTGCAAAATTATGAATTATATGGTTAACAATTTTTTTTTAAATAAAACATACTCAGTGTTAGAAATAACTTCATAATTATATCGAGTTGAAGATATTTTTCAAAAATCATAGAAAACAAAAACCTATTTTAATAACGTGTCTGCAAAATGATCGGTGTCGCGATAATACAGATTTTTTTTTTATATAAATGTAAATAATTATACTATTACATAAAGAAATACACTTTTTGATCTGCAAAGTTACAAACAACAGTATATAGCGTGACAAAGATAAAAATATAAAAAATAGATACATTAATTGCAATAAAAATTTATTACCATTAATTAGTTTAAAATCAATATATTTTAATGTCATATTTAATATGCGTTCAAGACGAAATTGAGAAACGACAAATTAATCAAAATTAAATATAAAAAATTAAATTGTATATAGGCTACAAGTAAAAGATGGATGTCAATTGCTACAATGATATTTAGTATTTAAAACATGGATAAGAATATAACATAGATAAACGTTTTAAACCTTTATTAGTCAGTTCAAAACAAAAAAGTTCACAACGTCAAGTCGGTTAACAATATAATTCAAATAATACAAAAAGAGTTACAAAATTCCGGGTTATTTTCTAATTCTTTTTATATTATTTGAATTTTATTGTTAACCGACTTGGCATTGCGAACTTTTTTATTATTAACTATATTTGTTAAAATGAGGTTGACCTACTAATGAAGGTTGAAATGTATATGTGTTATATTCTTATCTACCTTTTAAATATTAAAAATCATTTTAGCAATTGACATCCAGCTTTTACTTGTAGCCTACATACAATTTAACTTTTTTTTAATTTTTGAATAAAAATATTTATTTAATTTTAAATATAAAAATTACAAAAAGCAATTCTAATTCATCAAAGAGTCAATTGACGGACTTCTTCAAAAACT